TAAAAATTCCAAAGCTTACTCACCTGGGCAAATTATCAGCTGACGCAGTTGACTGAATATTATTTAATTTTCAACCGTGTGATAAGCGAATTAATTAATAATTGATAAAAAGACAGTTTTAAGGCAAATCAAGCAAAAATGCGTGTCAACAACGGTTTAACATTCTGCAGTGTATTGCTCTTTGTGCTTCTGACGACGGGTTTCTGTAAGTACACACACACACACACACACACACGCATAACATAGGCAGACAGATAGCCAAGGCACACATAAATATCCACGCAGCGTCTCAATATTTATTTTTCACTCGAACATTATCTGCAAAACTAGTTTCGAATGCAGCTGGAAGGCAGAATAGCCGAAGGCAGATACGCTGTTGGATAGCCAATTACCCTTTCTTTAACTGTTAATATTAAGTGATGCGTGTCTGTGTCCGGGTCCAGGCGAGTTTGGCAGCCAAGTTTACAGCGCATAAACATTTTTTTTATAATGCCAACTGCCTTCAGTCAGTGACCAAGAGCCTTGAAATAAATACCAAGGTCCGTCTACTGAAAATATACATATACATAATACACATGTATTTAGCTTTATGGTGTCCCTATAAGTTTTTGCTTCCTTATAAAGTTGGTCTTGGCTTGGCCTGCTCATTGCCCGATAAGATATTGCCAGAGATTATGATAACAAATGCTGTCTATGATAAGCAATTGATTCATGCGTAGGGGTACTTTATTTTTTGCAATGTTTTTTATAACCTTTATTCCTACTAACCAAATAAACCACATTTTTGGAGCAACCTTTCTGGAATTATTCGCAAGCCTTCAATTCTGCGCGCGATTTCTGCGCGATTTATGCGCGATTTATGTGTTGCGCATGACAAACAGATTTGAAACGCGTCTGTGGCATTAGGAATGTGCTTATTGCTTGTGCTATATAGCACATATTATATACAAATATATGTATATGGTATATATAGACTGGTTTTGTTGTATTGGATATTAAGCTTGCCGGTTTGGTTTGTCGTCTTTACACGATTATTTGTTTGCTCAAAAGTAACTCCAAAAAATGATGCCAGCATCTGATAAGTCGACAGCGCAGATAATATGTTTTTTGCGTGTTGCACGATTTCTGGGTAAGATAAATATTTTGATTGGACCAATAAACAAAGGTGCGATATGTTTTAAAGTCGCACAGCATGTGCAAATATTTGAAGATCTGTTTGTAGAAGAAACGCCTTTCAAGGAAAATGCCATGCACAAATATTTATTCAATGTCTCGATCTGTTCTGGTTAATTGCACTTTTACAGCTCATGCCAAACCCTTGGAAGAACTGAAGAAAGCTGATACCGAGCTAAATGAATCGAATGGCCAGGAACCCAAAAATAAAACAGCTGTCAGCGCTGGCGAAGAGGTAAGCTAATCGCTTTTGGGAGCGGGGTGGGGTAACTGGGCCGACAGACAGAGAAGGCCGAGTTGAAGAGACAAACAGAATTAACGACGGATTCCAAAATGAAATATGAAATATGATATAGCCTGATGGCTGGCTCTGCAGCCCGGCCGGTTTATTTTTAAACACAGAACCGGAAATTTACGCTTTAAGAAATTTTTTCAAATTTATTTTCACTTTGATTAAATGCAAAAACCGCAAGAAAGACACGCGCGCTGTGAGCCATATAAGGCCCAAATGCACGCAACGATCATTTCAGTGGCGACAATTTGCATAAAATGAATCAAATAAAAACTGAAGAAGCCACCGCTAACAGCGATGAGGGTTTTTAACGTCTTAGTCACGAAATTCCATAAAAATTAACTTATAATCGAAACAGACAACAAGCACGGCGTGTTGGATTTTAAGTGGTGAAGCGGTTGTTCCCTCTGTCGTCATGGCTATGACTCAGGCCCTAACCAAAGTGAATCTCTTTTTGATGCCGAGTTCTAAGCTATTTGTGACGTTTCAATGTCACATTCCGCTAAACGGCTAAACGAATTGAACTTTGCGCATTTTGCACGCGATCTCACCTGTGCACATAAAATAATATCACTTTCCACCAATCGCCTGGCCTAGGCCAGCACCTAAGCACTTTTTATTGTATTTTGTTATGATTGTCGCCAGTTGTTGTTTAGAGTGAAACACGAGGCGAGGCGGCAGTTGGAAGCTCAATGACAAGTCACGTACCAGCATTTGCTGTCGAGAACTACCTACTCGGCTTTATTGAATTACTGGCCAAACATGATCTAGTCTGCTTTAGATCACAACCCTTGGGTCAGTAGAAAGCTTTGAGTATGTGTTGTGCAATCAGCTCCCCCTCCCCCTTTAAGAAAAACGTGTTTCTAATAGCCGTAAGCGGACCTTGGTTTGTTTCCAGACGCAATAACGTTCGTCGGAGCAGGAGGAAACACTGTGGTGTCTGCGCATATTAGAGAATATGTATTTAAATTACAGAATATTTTAAATAACTAGCAATTAGAGTTTTCAAGGCGTTTATACAGAAAGACGGAGGGTCGTTGTCATTTTCGAGGGAAAGGATTTTTACAAAGATCTTTGACAATGTTTTTAAAGCAAATCCACAGTTACGTGTGGAATTTCTAAGTTAAAAAACACATATTAAGTTTTATGGAATGCCTTCAAGTCGATTGGACGAGGCTTAAAACATCCTCCATAATAGTCCTTGAAAGCTGTGGACATCCTCGGTGGTTTTGCTAAAAGTGTGAAACATGAAATGAAATGAATTTCCATAAAGATTATTGGGAATTCATTTGAATTCAACCCCTAAATCTCTAAACCATCAAGATGGGATGGATTTGGATGAGTTTGAGCCCGATCGAATTTTTGTGCACCTTCATCAGTTAAACTGAGAGTTTCCTAGCTCTCACGGTTTGAGTTATACGTTGATCAGTGAGTTTTGCAAATGGGTGTTAATTTGATGATCTCAAAATTAAGCACCTCAATAATCCACTCAGTTTTTTAAATTAAATTTGACCGTATCTATTGCCGTAATTTGTCACGCTCATGTTGTCAGGCTGCGGAAACGAATCGACCGCAAATAATAGACATTTAATCACGTGCCAAACGTTTCGTCGACCTAAATTCATATATTGTCATATATATGTCGTATGCTTGTATTTTTTATAAGGTGGGCGTCTAACGGTTCTGACATTTTTCAGCTAAACACGGCAACGAATTTAGTGCTCGCCGGAAATTATAAATACGATGTGGAAATACTTGAATCTGGCGACAACGAGGATGCAAATCGAGACAGCAGCGAAGAGTTGGAGGAGCGTTTCAAGGGTCATGGCATCTACAACACAGACACCGATACTTTCGTATCCGAAAATATTGAGATGACGCCCGTGGATGTAGAGTCTAGTGCCATAAGCGAGAACCATATGCTGCTCAGCATAGTACTTGTTGTGGTGGCTCTGGTGTCAGTCTGCCTTTATGCGGGACTGGTTATATGGAGATCGCATTTAGAGTACGTTGCAGCCTGCTAAATACAGGCATATATTTGAGAAGTGCTAATTACTGATCTCTTGTTTCTACAGGCAGCGTTATGGCATGCGCGAGAGACTAGTGAATCGGGATGTGGATGAGGAGGGCATTGACGATACGGATTATCATGTGACATATCCGCACACACTCAGTCCCTACGCCCCAACAACTACGGCTACCACGCGATCGTAGTCTAGTTTAAGTTTCGTGTAGGATGAGATTCAATTACGCTTAAGCCTATTTTAAATTGCAATTGATAACATTGTTATTTGAGCGCATGCCGTGAGCTCACACTCGCATACCCTGGGTGTGGACATGGTCAATTAACTACATACACTCACACACACACACACGTCAAATAATAATTCTAAAGGTCATTTAATAGAAGTTTCGGCCCGAAGTTGGGCATGCCAATTTAGTTTTAAGTTTCTGTGATATTGTTCTAGAGACTCTTTGTACAACTTTAAAATAAAAACACGCTTCGAGTCAACGATTAAAATATTTTGTAAAAGCAATTTTTGTAAAGGTGCCTGTAAATGCATGAAACAATCTAGAAAAATAAACGTTTTTTTAATGAATTTTATCCGTTAATTTGGCGCAATTTAAAACTCTGTTCGAGCCTTTTGGTGTTCAGAGCCATTTCCAGTTCAAGGCATGTTAACGCGAGCCGTTAACGAGACTATAGGTTTACAGGGCGTATACTGTATGTTACTTAAAAATACAATTAAGTTGGCAGCTTCTGTGTGCATTAGATTGGTTAGAAAACCTGTGTTGCCATACTATTGTCGTTCGATTATTAATTTTCGTTTATTACTCCCCACCTTATTTAGTTAATGCGAATTCAGTGTTTCTCTTCATATAAATAATGAATAACATCGACTTATGTATATTAATTGATATCACTTTATATATTCGCTTTTAACAGTTCTGCTCCTCACAAGTCAAAGCTGCTCCTCACTTAACAGTGCAAAGCAACAGCTGTCTTTGTTAGCAATTTGCACTTTGAACTTGTGCTTGTTTCGCTAAATATAAAGTGCGCGTGTCCTCTTGTTAAATTTGTGGTGCTCGTCCTACTTTGCAATTCATGACTCTCTGTTTGGCTTTTGAGTTATAAGGTAAGCATAGAGGTGAGCAGAAACTGTGATACAAACCGGCAAAAGGTGCAACATTTCTATACATAGATGTCACACGGTATGGCAGTGTGCAAAGTAACTCAAGTTCTCATTGGTATGACTGTTAACGTTCATTTAAGTTCGATGTGTACTCCTTTACTCTCTCGTTCGCCAAACAATTTTGTGCTATGGCACTTGTTTCGAACATTTGTCAATTATATGCACAAGACATAGTGCAACCAAAACAGGCACGAGAGAAGTTGGGCCTCTCCATATGTACGTACTCTTTGCTACCGTTAAAATGCGAACGCGAATGCGCACTCTTGTCGAACAGTTTCATTGATAAGAAGGCAATGTGAAAGTCTCTTGGCAGAGACACAAAAACGTCTGCCAGTACACAATTGTCCGTTGCCGTCACTGCAGCTAGCGTTGCGCCGAGCGGAGTGCAGTCAGTGGTCAAGATTGAATTTAGATAGTGCGAAAGTTCTGACGCGCTGTCCGTGTAGTTGTAGACGCCACATGCAGCACACGTTGTGCTGTTATTAATTTAGTTGCGTGGCTTAATTTTGTTGCCGCTGTAGTCGCTTTAATTGTTCCAGTTACCGCTCGCTTTTTTAGCAGTGTCAGTGTGTGTGTGTGTGTGTGTGTATGTGTCATCGACTGTGCGTGGGTGTTTTTCATATCAATTAACGGTAAAAGCCAGGCATCGTTTTCAACGCTTTTGTTTTTTGTGCTTCCTTGCGCGCTTCCTTTTCCTCTCGCTGGGACTTGTTCGTTCCGCGTGCCAACAGTAGCTAGACAGGACCATCTGGAGAAAACAATATGACGCACTGGGAGGACTTTTACAACACACATCTGCCGCCAGCAGACTTCGAGGATAATCGCTCTCTGCTTAAGGAGTTCTGCGAACGGCATAATAAGCTGCAGAATCGGATTGTGCTCGTTACGGTAAAAACTTGAACCCACTCATGCACTAATTGCCTCAAATTCTCACTAATGAGCCAACCACTCGCTTTATTCATATATATTCCGCAGTCGGGCGGCACCACAGTCCCCCTGGAGCATAATACTGTGCGTTTTGTGGACAACTTTAGCGCCGGCACTCGAGGCTCGGCGAGCGCCGAGTACTTTCTGGATCACGATTATGCCGTCATTTTTATGTATCGCCACAAGTCACTGGAGCCGTTCACGCGCCACTTCACTGGCCAGCAGTTCTTCGATATGCTGGACATAGCGGACAACAGCCAGAGCTCTACGATAGCCATCAAGCCAGACTCGGTGGACGTGTTTGCGCCGGTGCTGGCCAAGTACAAGATAGCGCGCGAGACCCAAATGATACTCTACGTCAACTTCACCAGCGTTGTTGACTACATGTGGCTGCTGCGAGCCGCCTGTGAGTGCCTGGCTGCGTTTGAGGAGCGTGCTGTATTATATTTGGCAGCAGCCGTATCCGATTTCTACATACCCGAGGACATGATGGTGAGTCGCAGCGAACGCCGTGCCCCAATCTCCGTGCATTGAGCCTCCCACGAGGTGGTCATGTGGGAAATCTTGTAATTGATTGCACTCGTCATTCAATGACTGGCGGCATCGCCAGCTCCAGTTGCCTGGAAATTGCTTTTTATCGATTCGCAATGTTGATTGCCTGCGTTTGCCATCGGCTCTGCCTTTGACATATTTTCTCTTCACATAATTGACGTCAGTCCCACTTCTACCAGGACCATGAGGAGCAGCAGCATCAGCGGCAGAGGTCGACAGCAGCTTAATATTAACAATTGCTTTTGACACGCTGCTCCCTTGTCTCAATATCAAATGCCTGTCAGCAGCACTGACTTTCTATATATATATATACATATATATATACATATGTATATATGCATATATGTAACTCTATCGGTGTCCTTGAGCTAACAACATCATCAGCCTTAACATTGTCATGTTGCCTTTAATTTGATTTGCATAAATTTGCTTGTTGTGCCCACGTGACCGTGTTCTCCCCTCCCTCCCACTATCCAGTCTGGGGGCTGTGCTCGACCACATTTTATTTTCATTTCAGTTTTAGCACTCATTTACATGTTCATGCAGCTTTGGTTGCATCCTCCGCTTGTCATACTCTGCCTCCGTCTCCGCATCCACTCATCGTTGTCGCCTGTCGCCTGTCAGCAGACTTTCTGGTGCTTATATATTCAGTGTGCAGCGGCAAAATGTTTTCAAGTACATGCATCAAACGCTCATTGCTGGAGGCGTTCGTCGTCGCGCCGTTGGCTGCTTGCGGTTTTCACCTACTACCAAAGAACGCCCACCCTAGCCACACCCACTCACATAAATATATACATACACATACACATGCACATGAATGAGTGTTGGGGCAGGTAAACTGAAAGTTTTCCACTTGTCGCCTACCTTTCAGCCTCTCAGCTTCGTGCTGGCATTTTCAACGCTCTATTTCCGTTTAGCTCGTGCATTTCCGCTCGGCCTTATGCTTGAGGCGTTCCCATAGCGTCAGCGGTTGGTAGGGCGTTAGCCACAAATCCTTTGCTTGATTGAATTCTTGGATGTTCTCGCAACCCCTTTGCTTACCTTTCAAAGTGCAATGACGAAAATTGCCTGTTGATGTGTGTACTTTTAAATTTATGCGCTTATTGCGCTATGTCTTCCTCTGGCCCTCTTGAAGCAGATCCGAATTACCTGGTAGTCTACAAATTCACTTAGTGTGTTTAATTGCATCTCCATCGAGTTTACATGCCATACGCATTTATAACTAAATTATTCATATGGAGCTTGAATACAACTAAGATACATGTGTCTACCTGATTTATTAGAGACCCGATTGATATCCGAACTGGTTCAAACGCGGGAAACCTAGGTTTATTTACCTTTAGTCGAACCTTAAATCGGATAAATTAGATAACGATTATCCGAACCTAACCTGAACCCATAAGTATTTGGAAAAAATTTCATTTATTCGTAAATCTTGCTTGGATATTTGAAAACATGTATATATTTGGTATTTAATGATTATAAAAACATTTTGAAGACAACAACAACATTAAACTTTTAAATAAGAATTCCAACTTATGTAGTCAGACAATCTTAATAAGCTATGCACTTCGCGTTGTTTTCGAATAGGGCATTTAACACCCACTAAGAGTTTCAAGGACAATGTCAACAATTCAACGTACAACCTTTAGGTAAACTTATGCAAATGCGGCAAACAAGTTGACATTTCATAAGGATTTAGTAGAGACGAAAAATAAATTCTTATAAGCCAAAACCAACAAGAAATTATAAATGTAAACTACGCGAACAAAAAGAAGCAAGGGCAAAGGGATAGAGAGGAAGCGAGAGATAACCAAACAAATGACACTGGGCGCAAAACAAGCGACGAGCTCAAATCTGCAAATCAAATCAAAAGACTTTACAAGAGCACGCATGAACGCACACAAAGGGACGGCGACCTATACGCACTCATACTCGCCAAGAAAGTGGGTACAATGACACAGTCTCGGAGCAAGGACAGCGGAAAAGGGGAAAGTAAATAAGTAGCCAAATTCAATGTCAACAGCTGTTGGCAGTTCTTAAAAGCAAGCACAAATAAAAACGGTCTAGCCGAGACTGCTCGACCAGCATAAACCCTGAAGCTGCCTGTGTTCATAGAAAAATAAGTAGTATATTAACAATAATTGGGTAAAGTTTGTCTTGCTTTCGATATCAGAATCAAAGCCGTTATAGGTAGAGATTAAATTAAATCTCCAGTTTCTGTATGAAACTAAGAATCAATTGAAATATATGTCGAAGAAAACCTAAATTAATTAAATAAATGAAAACCTGAAGGCGCGGATTTCAGAAACAAGGTTAACTACCGCACTTACAAACTTCGACCTCGAATTTTTCCTTAACTGTTCACAGCTGTGGGTGAAGTTTCTGTAACCGTTGGAAACTCTATATGTAGAGTGTTGTAAATAATGTTTAGGCCATGCGTTATGTATAGTTACTTTACTTGCAAAAAGGGGGTTCTCACTATAAATAAGCTGCTATAATATATGAATCTTTTATATACTACTTCTACTCCTTATTGTGTAAGTTAAGGACATTTAAACTTATTGCCACAAAAGCTTAAAGTTCAAATTAGAAAAGGCGTCGGCAGCGACGTTAGCGTTGCGCAATTGCCAATGGTGCTTTGGTTCGTATTCGTTGTCATCTCTTTGCCTGCAGCTGGGTTTTTCATTTCACACAGAGCCCGCAAAATGTCTTGGCTACTTAGGCTTATCTGTCTAGCTGCCCGTCCTACTTGCCTGCCAGTTGCCTTGTGAGCGAAAGGAAAATGAGACTGGTCAGCAGTTGGGGTGGAAACCTAATCAGCGACGGGGTATTATGTTCAACAAGTAGTCGGATATGTGCCCAGTAGCCCACACTGCGTATGTGTTATATTTAAAGAGCATATGTGCAACGAGGCGTCATCGTCATCGTCAGCTCATTATCACTGAGTTATGCTTTCAATTAGTTGTAATACATTTGCCATGTGGCAAGCGCCAAGAGTTAAACTTCATGTTGCTTACGAAGGTGGATGGAGAGCGGTGGGAGGAGGAAGGTGGAATGTAACCCTGGCCTTTAGCTGCGCCACGATGTTGTCTGTGCGCAAGGACACATGAACTGACCGTCGGTTTCTGTGTGGGGGTGTTGTCAACCCTGTCGCGCCCCATTCCGTTGGGATGCAATCCCATCGCATACGCATCGTTGGCTTGTCATTCCATTTATATGCTATATGCTCACCGTTGCAGCCCACACACAAAATGCAATCGGGAGATGGGGCACCTACGATTTCGCTGCAATTGGTGCCGAAAATGCTGGCACCACTAGCCAGCCTGTGGGTGCCGCATGCCTTTGTGGTCTCCTTCAAGCTGGAAACGGACGAGAATCTATTGATTGTGAAGGCACGCGACAGCCTCAACAAATACAAGCATAAGGTAAACGATATTGACCCCACATTTGTGCTCAAAGTTACATGCTGATCTTGTTCTTCACGTATAATATTATTTTGGTAGCTGGTTATTGCCAACGTGCTGCAGACACGCAAGCATCGTGTGGTCTTTGTAACGCCGACAGATTCCTATGAGCTGCATTTGAGTCGCGAGCAAGCGCTGCAGGGCCTGGAGATAGAAGAGCCCATTGTGGCCGACGTGGTGAGTGCGAAACGTGCCTAACAAAAGGCAGCTCTCAAAAAAAAAATATATATTTTTTATATTTTTCCGTTTGTAGGTGCAAAAACATGGCGACTTCATCAGCAGCGCCCAGCAGCGCCAATGACCGTTGTCGATGCGCCGCCGGCAGCAGCAGCAGCACCACCACCACCACCACCAGCAGCAGCAGCAGCAGCAGCAGCATTACCGCCAACTGCCAACCGACGGTAGCAGCAGTAGCAACGTCGACACCGCCGCAGCAACGGATTTTCGCGTGACCAGTTCACATTATTGCCACGTCCTAAATCCGGGCACGCCAAGTCTCGGACGAAAATATTGAGCAGGTTATAGCGCCATGTCCATTTGCATATTTTGTACGTTTAATTTGTAGTTGTCTATATTAACGGTTAATATCTATCTTCTTATGGTAACGCCCTAAATGGACGCATCATAATTGATGATGGTTGAATGAGCATGTTATCGTTGACTGTTTGAAAAATGATGTCACCTCTTGTATTACATATTTCCATTTGACAGTATCTTCTCTATGCGTTCTCTGGCTCCCCATTTCTGTCATCAAGCATACGCACCGTGGTATATGGCTTTGACACAAGTCTGAGATCATCAATAATCAGTTTTGTTTCTCTTGCGGCTCTCGTGGCCAGAGCATCGCGTGAGCACACTCATCCACAAATTAGCCACCCGCACACTTACTTATATACTCGAACGAATGCAAACACCAACACACGTACAGGAGCTTTATAAAATTGCAATTTGCAGACCGGCCCTGACGGCTGTCGGTTGCAGGCATTGCGACAATTGATTTACAAGCCGTGCATAGCAATGACTACAGCAAAAACAATAACAGCAACAACTGCGGAACCTGCCAAATGTCCTTGGCTGTTCAAATTTATGGTGGCGTATACTTAATGCCTTGACGCTTGTCTGGCTCAAGCAGGTCAAGTGGCGTTTAAAGGTCAGTTTTGAATGCACTGCAACTCAACATGAAATTCTGACAGCTGCCACTGGCAAATTAAAATTTAATTGGGGGCAAAAGAAGAAATATAGCAGAACGACCAGCAAGAAAAACTAATTAACGCAGCGCCCGCAAAAAAAAAAGTATATAGAACAAAACAGGAACCGACGCAGACAGCACAGACCATTGACAGCGGCAGCTGCCTCTTTGGCCTCTCAGGGTCTTGGGTCAGCCTTTTTTCACATGTTTATTGCATGTTCTGTTGCTGCCGCCTTTTATCTACGGCTTTGCCGCCTAATCTACCTGCCTTAACTGTTCCCTGGTTGTGGCCTGTGCGACCAAAGGTCCAAAGCTGGCGCCACTTCCGGCCACATTTTCGGTTTCGGTTTTGTTTCAGCCCCAAACTAGGCAACATGTTTTTTTTTTGCGCTCGTACAGCAGCTGTGGCGTAATATTTAACAACTTTTTCTCTTTAATGCTTGTGCGCGCCAGTAAATGTGTTTGCGTATGTGTGTGCGGGTGGGTGTGTGAATGTGCAGCAAATTAGATTTTATTGCGTTCACACGTACAACACACAAACATGAATACATAAGAGTATAGTGAATTAAGCCAAGGCCCAATTTCAACATGGACATGGCAAGAAACAAGCTATCAAAACTTGCTAAAAGCAATTCAACTTTGAGAAGGAATTTTTCTTACATTTGGGACTCTGGCCATGCTTATCATCTGAGGCTTACCTTTGTTTTTTATTTAATTTTTCTATTACAAATAGAAATAGTTTATAAATTTAAATGAGATCCTTTGGCGTTATCGTTTACAATTTAACATATGAAGTTTGTGCTCTTAGGCAGCTTGTGACGATAATAAGCCCTTGAAATATCTAAATAAAACCCGTACATACTGTTGGCACATACATATAAACACCCACGCTTGAGGATTATAACCTGTTGCCACTTGTCGTATTTTCTGGATTGTGCTGTTTTTATTGCCGTACAAGCTTCTACCCACAATCAACCCACACAGCAATTCGTGAGGGAAGTTTTGTTTTTCTTGCCGACTTTGCCACCATGCCACGCCCACAACATTTGATGCCCACTCACATATTTATGCTCTATGTATGTATGTTTCCCTCTGCCTCCTTGTATCGATTGCGCATTTCAAATGCATACAAACATAAAAATTCTGCTCGCAAGCCAAATGACGTATAATAAAATATGTACTCGAATTTTGTGTGGGCAACTAGCCAAGAATGCGAGCGCAGGCTAAGGCTCCACTCTGATTATTTCCAATTAATTGAACTCGTCTCTTATTTATCTGCAGTCATTTAGGAAGAGTGTGTTATAATAATTTAAATAGTTTATGTGTAAGTCAATAAAGAACAATTCATATCCGATTCATAGGACTGAATTCCATATTCTATACAAACACTTTGTAAGTTTTGTATTCTGCTTTGTAAATAATAATTTTTGTGAAAAGTCATTGCATGTCCAACTTATATAAAAAGCAAGAGAAATTAACGCAAATATCTAAATAATTTAAAGAATCTAATTTGAATTTTCCATAGAAATGTCCAAAATTTAAACGAATTATATATTTGAGGAAAATTACCTTAAAAAATTGCAAAACAAAGTGTAACGCATAAATTTAAAACAAAATTTTCTTAGAAAACCTTCAATAAAATAAACCACATATTAAAATATCAATTGTCAATGAGAGCTATAAAAGGTTTTAAAAGAACCCAAACAAAACAAAAACGAACCAATCCTTCAATGTTTTAATATTCTGAGCAATCGGACCAAAAATACAAATCAGATAAAAACGAAATAGAATTTGAAGTATACATATATCAGAAATTACGTTACATTAAATTGATATACACATTTAAATTAATATACATAAGTATTTATCAAATCGAGCTAAGTGTATACATTCATATATATCTATATATATCTATATACATAAATATATAATTGCGACTATTTATTCTATATAAATCGCGAGTTTATGTCTAAAATTGTTAAACAAATTTAAATATGAAATCAAAATTGAATTACTATGCAGCAATCTATTTATTGTTGAAATCGGCCAAACTCTTATTAAAAACATTAAAATATATTAACTAACCAAACTATTACAGTGCAAATATAATAAGAAATCGAAAACCAACTAAACAAAAATCCGAAGGTATTTGTTAACTGTTATAAATTGTTTGTTCACATACATTAATGTTTACTGAATGAACTTTGTCTTATGTCTTGAGTCAACATTATGTGAATATAACTACAAATAATTACGTAACATTTATATAATATGTACTCCCATATATTTAAACGTGTGTGTATAAAACTGATGAAAAATAGCTTTAATTGTTTAAAATTCACTTTGTGTTTTCTTCTTTGGGAACTATGCACATGTTGCTGCTTTTAAGCTGCACCAATAGAAATATATCAGCTACTTGGTTGTCATCCATAGGTAAATTATATATATTCTCCTAGAAAACGTATCAATCAGCATTCAAAGAAAAAGCAGTCTCTAGTAGAACGGGAAAGAATGCAATTGCACTTACTGCTATATCGAAGCTCTTAAAATGGAAAGTCTTGACAAGGAAATTCCCTAGTATAAAGAACTATATACAGTGTTTAAATCCTTTCCATTAAATGAACAATAAATATTAGCATTTGGGAAACAAAATGCGTCATGCCAGAAGTTAATTCAACGTTATCTACACTATATAAAACTGTTTATCCTGACTGGCTGTCCGTAGGAGCTGACCGTGATGCACGTTAAGACGGGGTTTCGGTAAATTCCACCCGCATGAGTGGCAAAATCGCGAAAAAAAACGGTTCCAGCACCAGCTATCACCTTCAACATCGTTCTGCTGAAATGGCTTGACAACGTTCAGAGGTGTTCTCCAAATGTAGTAGGATGCAGTGCATCCTCCACGCAGGCATATTTGATATCTTTAGGTTTCGCATAAAAAGCTCAGCAAACAACAGAACGCGGGATATTGCTATCGATAGGTCTGAGTGCTTGGAATTGGAACGACAGGGTATCTTGTTCTCAACAAAATATGGAACTCAATATGCCTGCAATGGAAAAAAATACATATACTCCTTGGGATTTTCAGTGGGAGCACCATGCCAATACAGCATGGAAGCCGCACCAATACGACAAAATCAAAAAACCTTTTGACCCAATGCCAAGCTGGAATACGCCGTCGCTTTAATGTAGTCCATGCTCACTTAAGTGATTATCTTAACCACACTTTTCAAACGGAGCTGAAAACCAACAGAGATTGGTAATCAACGAAATTATCAACATGTCGTGAATTTTTCATAGTAACATTTATCATAGTTTAAATATTTCATTAAGTTGCCACGAAGCTGACGCTCCATTTTGGCTTATGTTATATTTTTGATTATTATAGCCTTGTTATATGAAAAAATGATAGGACGATGCGTGCAATAACACGATTGCAAAAATACATGTAAAAATTTTTATTTTACCGATTTACCAGGCAATGCCAGAATACAATACTAGATATAAGATTAAAAAACAAGTAAGAAGTTAAACCGCGACTTTATGAAAGCTGGTTGGCCAAAGTGACACGATTAGAACATCACAAAGTGTATTTACATATATTTACATAAAAAATAAGGTTAATGCTTGGTGCTTGGCTTTCAATTGTTATTTTAGGGAGCATTAATTTTCCAAATCAGTAAACTTAAACTTGAGTGGTATATTGGGCTTATTGATCAGCACCGAGCGAAAAGCATTCTCCGTCGAATGGTTGAACTCAACTCTGAAATTTCTTATAATTCTAGCAACGCCGAGTTCTAATTCCATATCGACAATGCGTTTACCTACGCACATGCGTGGCCCGAAACCGAATGGCAAAAAAACAAAGGGATTGGTTGTTTTCAATGGATTCGCCGGGCACTTTGCCTCTGAACCCGTCTCATTGCGTATCCAGCGTTCGGGCAGAAACTCCAATGGTCGGGGAAAGTATTTTTCACTAGTAAGCGAGTTTAGGGGAACCATGGAGACGAATGTGCCTGCTGGCACCTTATAGCCACTCAAAACACAGTCACGATTAGTAGTCCGCGCATGACCAATCACAAGGGGCAGTAGTCGCTGCGATTCTTTGAGGCAGGCGCGCAAGTAGGGAACATTTTTCATGGACGCCTCTGTGAACTCCGAGTCTTTTTGGGGGAGTACGCGCATGACCTCCTCGCGCAACTTATCCTGTTTATCCGGGTTGGTCGCAATCGACAACATCAGTGCGGCAAAAGTGCTTGAAGTCTAAGAAAATTTGATATGAAATTTGATTCGTATTAGTATTTAGTTAACTATCTGCTTACGGTATCGACGCCAGCCATTAGCATGTCCATGGCCATGACTATAGCCACTTTTTTATCTATCTTCAGCAATTTCTCGAGTACACTCTGTTCCCTTTCGGGTCGCACTAGGCCCCGCTGCGCCTCCGCGTTCAAGCGATCCAGTGCCTCATTCACGTAAGCCAGGGTCACCTTCTGTATGTTGTCGTAGGCATTCATCAACTTCTTTAACATTGGGGTCTGAATGTAGCGCCAAGGTGATGGTTGTACTTCTAAGACGGCGGCATACGTAAAGAACTCATCCAAGCTTTTAAAGAGAAGCTTGGCATTTTCATCAGTGTGCGAGTCCTTCAGGAGACCGAGCTGCTTGTCTAGCGCGACAACAGAGACCGATTCTAAAGTCCAGCTGTTTATATATTCAATAAAGTTGTCCGGAACCTCCAGCGTGTTGGGATTTCGTATGGCCTTAATACTGAAAGAAACGTTGGTAAGAATTTGTATTTTACTACAATAATGTATGGTGTAAATTGAAGGCTGATCTGCTTACCGATCAACAAATTCGCAGTTGACCTGTGACATTTTCTTGTAGTAGAGTCTTACATTCTTCGGCTGCATTAGCACTGGATTTACAATACTGCGAAATTCACCCCACGCCTTACCTTGGGTAGGAATCAACCCTTCGACACCTTGAAAGAAATCCCTTCGATGTTTCTCGCGATGATATCTCATGGTATCGCTGCCTGGTCTATGCGGCCACACACCTTCATTACGAAAGACAACTTCAAAGTCCTTTGGATTATATGTGGTCAAAACGGGATCGCTGCCAAAAATGCCTGGAATTCGAAAGATTTCACCATAGTCTCTACGCATTGCCAATATCAGTTGGGACAAATCCAGATTTTTATATTTCCCCCCGGGAAATGCCATGTTAAAGGTTAGCGAAAGCGGATTGGCATTCGGAATATCCTCAAAGGGCCGCGCCTCTTGCCACTCGACATCATCTCTAGCGGCACTTGGTTCCTTAACTGCAGCTGCAGTACTTTGACAACGCTAAAATAAATGATTGTAAGTATATTTAATCTAACAAGCGTATCTCACACTCACCTGTTCTGTAATCGCGCATGCATATAGGGCATGGGCCGCTTTGTGTGGCTGACTTATGGCCAGGTAATTGCGTAGTTTTAACATTTTGCACTCGCCGCGGTCTTCACCCGCTTGACTCGAAAATTGAACTAACTTTTTGCATTAAACAATTAATAGAATGCCAGCAGTCCGCAAGCTTTTTTATGTTTACATACAGTCTAAATGCGGAAGAGCTCAATCTAATTCTCAAAAGCTTTCAGAAAGCGTACAGAAAAAAACGTAAATAAATTAAATTATTTTGAGCGTATGCTTAGCTTAATATTTGTTGCTTTTAAAATTGGCTTTTGATACGCGTAATATTATTTAGCATACATATTTTCTAACAGAGATTAAAAAGAGAGTTCCTGACCTGATATAACACAATTTTAGCGCTTTGCGCATTAGAGGCTTATCAATTATTCAAAAGCTCTGTGATTATTAGTTATTAGTACAA